TTTTTTTTTTTTTTTTCATCGAAAATATAATAAAAAAAAAATATCGTAATACTTCTGATCGATCGATCATCATTACATTAGGTGTTTTAGAATTTTTAATAAATCATGCAGTCTAGTTTCTGCGCCTGTAGCGACTCGTCTATCACAATTTAATTTACGTGATTCAAGTATCCTAAATTACTATGCTTCAAGCATTTTTCACAATCCCAGTGCCAAGAATACTTCGTTTAAAATAAAATCACTGAACAAGAATGTAAATGAACAAAAGCGTCGATATGAACACTGAAACTGTGCAAGTTCAATAAAGAAAATATTATAGAAAAATTTTACAGTCATTTTTAGTAAATTTGTATACCGATCCAAATTTCAGGCTATGCATTCCTACATAATTGTTACTAATTACTATCATCGTCGATCATTACTTGATTCTACTTTTAATGCCACGAATATAATTATCGTTCGCTTTTTTTGGGGGAAAATTTTATCACAAGCACGCACATATTATTGAAAGATAAGATAGCAACATTGTTCTTATGTTATTAATAATTAATTCTACTGTGAATAACAGAATTATATAATTAATACTACGTGATTAGTTGGCAATCGTTATTGGTTTTAAGAAACAGTTCTGAAGATAATTCACGTTGCCTCCATGTTCCCTCTCCCTCCTTTCAAATAACAGCTTAATTGATATGATTTACGGAAACGTCGTTTGGCAAGCGTTCGATCGACTTTCACGGTGAAACGGAAGCCACTCTGTTCTGCCATTATCGTCGTAATTAAAGTACAAAACGAGATGAGAACGAACGGAGGGAGAGGCGAGCCCCTTTTGCACGTGGGAAGAGGAGCGGCGCGCGTGCAAGAGAAGCAATTTCGCGTGGTTCCCTGCCGAAATTGCGTTATGGTCGATCGTAATTCCGCAATCGGGGCACAGGTGTATGCGCCGGAGGAATATCGATGACAGTACCGTAACCGGAAACCAGCGGCACACGTCACCGATCGTTCCCTGTATCTATCAAGCTGCTTGAAATTAGCG